CAAGGACAAGTGAGGGGGGCAAGAACAGTGGAGGGGTCAAGAACAGTGAGGGGGGGCAAGGACAGTGAGGGGGGACAAGGACTTGGGGGGGTCCCGGGGGTCCCTTCACGTCCCCCCCTCATCCCAGCCACCGCGCGCTCACTGCGCATGCGCGCCGAGAAGCTGCTGGAAGGGCGGGCGGGCGGCGCGCACGCGCGGTGGCGGCGGCGGGAGGCGGCGGCGGCGCGCGCGCGGGGATTTTGCTGCGTCACCACGGGGCCGAGCGCGCGCGGGGCATTGTGGGAGCGAGGCCGCGCCGAGCCCCCGAGCCCGCCCGGAGCCACCGGAGCCTCCACCGGAACCCACCGGGAACCCACCGGGAACCCACCGGGGACACACCGGAACCCGCCCGGCACCGCCTCTCCACACGCAGCTGCTGCAGCACCCCCGCCGGAGCCGCCGCCGCCGCCGCCATCCGCCATGTGAGGCCCGGGGGTGTGGGAGCGGCGCGGGCAGGCCCCGCCAGGCCCCGCCGGGCCCCGCCGCCACCGGGAGCCGCCCCGGCGCCGCGTGCCGCCCTCCCCGCGCCGCTGGGTTTTGCTCCGGTTACGGGCCGGGCCCGGTTCCGGTTAGCGGGGGAGCGCCCCGGTTCGGCCGCCGGTGCCGGTTGCCGGCTCGGTGCCGGTGCGGCGGGCGGGACCTCCCGGTCCGGGAATGAGCGGGGGTGTTCGGGGGGTGCTGTTGGGTGTTTCTCGGCGGGTCGGTGACCACCGGCACCCGCCGAAACCGCGGGAGTCTCCCGGTAAGGAGCGCGTGGAGCGGTGCGGATCTGTTGGCGGATTTCGCGAATTTTCGCGTTTTCCCCCCCAAAATCCATCCCGGGGTTGCGCTGTCCCCGGGAGCTCCGAGGCCAGGCTGGGCAGGGCTCGGAACGGCTCGGTCTGGCTGTAAGGTTTTTTTTTTTTTCCCAGCCCAAACCGTTCCAGAATTCCGTGAAAAACCGGGAAAAAACGAAAAGGCGCCTGGGGAGGGGCTGGAGGAGCGCGGAAAGCCCCGGGGCAGCTGCATCTCCTCCCCCCGAGTCTCCACGTGCATCCCGAATTCATCTTTTTCCTTGGAATTCTCCAAGGAATTAATTTGGGGGACACCCAAAGGCGGCTCTGGTGGATGTGAGTGTTTCCCCTCAAGAGGAGTTTGTGTTTTCTGTGTCCAGGGTGACGCTCAGGAGGGAAAAACAGGCTGGGGAAGGAGCTGCAAGCAGCATTCCCACATCTCCAGCCACGCAACGAGGACTTCCAGCCTCCGGAGAGCGGGGTTAGGTGGGATTTTGGGACAAAAATCCCTCCCTCTGAGGGTGCTGAGGCGCTGGAATGGATTTTCCAGAGGATGCCCCATCCCTGGAGCTGTCCTGGCAGAGTTGGAGGGGCTGAAAGAGCTTCAGGGTCCCTTCCAACCCAAACCATTCCACAGTTCTGTGACCTCCACGTGCCTGGCTGGAAGGCCTGCAGGCAGCAGCACCTCCTGAGGTTTGGTTTTGTCAGGGATTTGGGCATTAACAGCATTAACCAGTGGGTTTTTGGTCCCTTGTCCCCAGCCTGGCTTTTACTTTTCCTCTGAAACCCTGAACAGTGGAGGTGCTTCGTCTGAACCCGAGTGAAAGTGAGAGAGCTGTGCTCAAGTTGGAGCTTTTTTGGTGTAATTTCTGTAGGTTTCATCATCCTGAAACTGCAGCTCTGCTGCATCTGCACAGAATGGTCTGAAATCTAAAATGAGGCTTTTTTAATGAAGAAAAAAAAAAAAGTGTAAAAATGAAAGGAAAAGTCATTTGATAAAACAGGTTTTATTGCTGCCTGGGAGGGGAGAATCTTGTTGAGGGCCTGATTTCTGTCGGGATACTTCCAGGAGATAAAAATGGGGTTCCAGAGAACACAAAACAGATTTGGGAACTTCCTCAGTGCCACAGATGGAGAGATTTGAGATTCCACTGGTGCCAGAGGCCAGGATATATCCAGGGACATCCAGCAGAGCCTTGAGGGCTCTGTGGTGAAGCTGAGCCCCCCCATTGCCCATCAGTGCTGCTGGAAGCTTCTAGAACCTGTTCCACAGTTCTGGAATAACGATTGCCATGGGAATGTGGGGACTGGAGGAGCCAGAGGAGCTTGGGGTGCCTGTGGCTCTCAGGAAGCCCCCAAAGCACAGCTGGATGGGACAGAGGAAATCCTCCCTGCTGGGAGCTCTAAATTCCCTTTTAAACATTTAAATTCTTCTGTTTTCCAAAAAAAAACCCCTCAGCAGGAGGTTGATCTCCCTCAAATCCTCCCTGCTGGGAGCTCTAAATTCCCTTTTAAACATTTAAATTCTTATATTTTCCAAAAAAAAAACCTCAGCAGGAGGTTGATCTCCCTTGGGGTTTGGGTGAGCAGGATGGAACTCTGACAGGTGCTGGGTCAGTGCCTGTGACAGGAGATTCTCCAGGTGTGTGGGAGCACTGGGAGCACGTGCCCAGCTCCCCAGGGGCTGCTGCTGCCTCTGGTTCTCTGCTGGGAATCTCCGTGTGGGCAGGAGGCACAAAGGAGCTGTGGCTTCCTCCCCATCCCAGCAGGTCCTGCCTTACTGGTTGGAACTGGTGAGTCCTGACTGAAGCTCACAGGGAGCTTTCCCTCCTCCCTTTGGGAGGATGAGATTGGAAAAGCAGATAAAGGGAGGAGAGGCAGCTCCAGCACCTCCCGAGCACTCCTGGGGTGAAATCCTGGGAAAGCAGGGCAGGTTTAGGTACAGAAATGTGAATTATGGCCAAATAAAACTCATCTGGGTTCCCTCCCTTGGAGGTGTGTGTGCAGCCTTGAGCTGAGTGGGATTTCTGGGAGCTCACAGGTTCTGAGCACTCTGAGGGTGAATTCCTGGGAAAGCAGGGCAGGTTTAGGCTCAGAAACTTGGAATTAGGAAAATTAAGTTGTAGAAACCTGGAACCAGAATTATGGCCAGATAAATCCTTCCCTTGGAGGTGTGTGTGCAGCCTTGAGCTGAGTGAGGTTTCTGGTGGTGCTGAGTTCTCTTGGTGCCTCAAATCCCCAATCCTGGCAGAGCCACTGAGGTCACGGGTTCCAAACACTCTCAGGGTGAATTCCCAGGAAAGCAGGGCAGGTTTAGGTTCAGAAATGTGAATTATGGCCAAACAAAACTCATCTGGGGCCTTGCTGCTGTCCAGCTCAGAGGTGTGTGTGTAGCCTTGAGCTGGGTGGGATTTCTGGGGCACTCTGAGGGTGAATTCCCAGGAAAGCAGCACAGGTTTAGATTCAGAAATGTGAATTATGGCTGAGTAAAACTCATCTGGGATCCCTCTGCTCTGCAGCTCAGAGGTGTGTGTGTAGCCTTGAGCTGGGTGGGATTTCTGGGGCCCTCTGAGCTGCCTCAAATCCCCAATCGTGGCAGAGCCACTGAGGTCACAGGTTGTGAGCACTCTGAGGGTGAATTCCCAGGAAAGCAGGGCAGGTTTAGGTTCAGAAATGTGAATTATGGCCAAACAAAACTCATCTGGGGCCTTGCTGCTGTCCAGCTCAGAGGTGTGTGTGTAGCCTTGAGCTGGGTGGGATTTCTGGGGCACTCTGAGGGTGAATTCCCAGGAAAGCAGCACAGGTTTAGATTCAGAAATGTAAATTATGGCTGAGTAAAACTCATCTGGGATCCCTGTGCTCTGCAGCTCAGAGGTGTGTGTGTAGCCTTGAGCTGGGTGGGATTTCTGGGGCACTCTGAGCTGCCTCAAATCCCCAGTCCTGGTGGAGCTGCTGAGGTCACGGGTGTCAGGGTGAATTCCCAGGAAAGCAGTGCAGGTTTAGGTTCAGAAATGTGAATTATGGCCAAACAAAACTCATCTGGGACCTTGCTGCTGTCCAGCTCAGACATGTATCCTTGAGCTGAATGGGATTTCTGGAGCCCTGTAAGCTCTGCTGTTCCTCAAATCCCCAATCCTGGCAGAGCTGCTGAGGTCACGGCTTCCAAACACTCTGAGGGTGAATTCCCAGGGAAGCAGCATGGGTTCAGGTTCAGAAATGTCAGACTTATCTTGGATCTCTGCTCTGCAGCTCAGATGTGAGAGCTGAGTGAGGTTTCTTGGAGCTCTGTGACTTCTGTTGGTGCCTCAAATCCCCAATCCTGGTGGAGCTGCTGAGGTCACGGGTCTCAGGGTGAATTCCCAGGAAAGCAGGGCAGGTTTTAGGTTCAGAAATGTAGATTATGGCTGAGTAAAACTCATTGGGATCCCTGTGCTCTGCAGCCCAGAGGTGTGTGTGTAGCCTTGAGCTGGGTGGGATTTCTGGGGCCCTCTGAGCTGCCTCAAATCCCCAGTCCTGATGGAGCTGCCAGGGTCACAGGTCTCAGGGTGAATTCCCAGGAAAGCAGCACAGGTTTAGGTTCAGAAATGTCAGACTTATCTTGGATCTCTGCTCTGCAGCTCAGATGTGAGAGCTGAGGGAGGTTTCCTGGAGCTCTGTGAGTTCTGATGGTGCCTCAAATCCCCAATCCTGGCAGAGCCACTGAGGTCACGGCCAGGAGGCTCCAGGGAAGGCTGGAGATGTCTCCATTGACACTGAGAGCTGGGAGGTGTTGGCACCATCCAGCCCCTGAGATTTCTGGTTGTGACAGAGCTGCAGTGACACTCCAAGTGCCCCACGCTGGGGGGTTGTGTCTCCCAGCACAGAGGGAGCAGAGCAGGGCATTTCTCATCCTCCTTTCCTCTTGGGAGTCTTTTATTCCCCATTAAAAGAGGAAAATCCGTGTCCAGGAAGGGTTTAAAAATACCACAGTAAGAAAATTGCTGCTCTGCTGCTGCACTTCACCTGAATAAGGTGATAATTAAATGAACATTCCCTGAAATGCTGCCACGAGGGAAAGCAGCAGGTTTTCACCCTGGAACAGCTGAAACTCCAGGCTGAATTCAGAATCCACTTTTTTGGAAATTAAATCCTTGGGCGTTGCTCTTTGCCCAGGTGCTGTGGCACCTACAAAAGGTGTTTGTTGGCATCGTGGCCATTCTGGAGCTGCTCCCTGAGCTGGCACCAGTGTGTCAGGAGCTGTGGCATGGGGGGAGCTCCCAGATTTGGGGTTCAGCAGGAGCTGGGCTGTGCCATGCTTGGGTTCATCCCTGGGAAACGTGCACGGCAGCAGCAGGAGCCTTTGGGTGAGTCCCTTTGCAATTAATTGATGATCAGGTGAGTCAAAAGCTTGATGTGGTGTAGCAGATGGTGTGAAAAGTTATTTTTTGGTCAGATTTTGTTATTTTTTGGTCAGATTTTGTTATTTAGAGCAGCAAAATTGTTATTTTTTGGTCAGATTTTGGCTTAGAGAGCAGCAGAAAGGGGCCTCACCTTGGTGAGGTGGCTGTCCCTGGTTTAGATCCTTGCCCACCTCATCCCAGCTGGGGAAAAATCCTCCCTGTGAGGCACAGGAATGGCAGATAAAGGTGGAGATAAGGTTCAAGAAGAGATTAAGGAGCTGTGGCACTGGGGGAACTCCCAGATTTGGGGTTCAGCAGGAGCTGGGCTGTGCCATGTTTCATCCCTGGGAAATGTGGATGGCAGCAGCAGGAATCTTTGGGTGAGTCCCTTTGCAATTAATCGATGATCAGGTGAGTCAGAAGCTTGATCTGGTTTAGCAAATGGTGTGAAAAGTTATTTTTTGGTCAGATTTTGTTATTTTTTGGTCAGATTTTGTTATTTTTTGGTCAGATTTTGTTATTTTTTGGTCAGATTTTGGCTTAGAGAGCAGCAAAAAGGGGCCTCACCTTGGTGAGGTGGCCGTCCCTGGTTTAGATCCTTGCCCACCTCATCCCAGCTGGGGAAAAATCCTCCCTGTGAGGCACAGGAATGGCAGATAAAGGTGGAGATAAGGTTCAAGAAGAGATGAAGATGGAATATCGATACGAAATACCCTCCTGGTGAGGCCCTGGAGTGGATTCCCCACCCCTGGAAGCCTCCAAGGCCAGGCTGGACAAGCAGAATTGTCCCTGCCACAGCAGGGGGGTGGCACTGGCTGGACTTTAGGGTCCCTCCCAAGCATTCCACGATTCCCTGGGAAGACAAAGGAGTGTGAGGAGCAGCCCTGGGCTCCGTGCCTGTGCTGGGAGGCAGTTTGCTCCTGGAATGCAGCTGGGCTGGAAGGGGCAGGGAGCCCAGGCAGGGCATTTTCCTGCTCCACAGAGCACTGCAGGTGAGTTCTGTGCAAACACAGGAGCTGCTCTGGGGCTCTCCCAGCTCCCCTGGACACGCTGTTGGTTCTTTGGGGTGGTTTTGCAAAGGCAGATTTATTCCAGAGTGCATGGGAGTCCCAGAGTGAGGACTTGGGGGGTTGTGAAGAGCTTGGTGCTGGCTTAATTGGGTGTTAATTGAGGTCTCTGCAAACACAGGAGCTGCTCTGGAGCTCTGGGGCTTTCCCAGCTCCCCTGGACACGCTGTTGGTTCTTTGGGGTGGTTTTGCAAAGGCAGATTTATTCCAAAGGGCTTGGGAGTCTCAGTGTGAGGACTTGGGGAAGTTATAAAGAGCTTGGAGCTGGGGTTCTCCATCCTCTGCTGGCTTAATTGGGTGTTAATTGAGTTTTGTGCAAACACAGGAGCTGCTCTGGGCCTTTCCCAGCTCCCCTGGACACGCTGTTGGTTCTTTGGGGTGTTTTGCAAAGGCAGATTTATTCCAAAGGGCTTGGGAGTCCCAGAGTGAGGACTTGGGGGGTTGTGAAGAGCTCGGAGCTGGCTTAATTGGGTGTTAATTGGGGAGCTGTTCTGGGGCTTTCCCAGCTCCCCTGGACACGCTGTTGGTTCTTTGGGGTGGTTTTGCAAAGGCAGATTTATTCCAAAGTGCATGGGAGTCCCAGTGTGAGGACTTGGGAGGTGGTAAAGAGCTTGGAGCTGGGGTTCTCCATCCTCTGCTGGCTTAATTGGGTCTTAATTGAGTTCTGTGCAAACACAGGAGCTGCTCTGGGGCTTTCCCAGCTCCCCTGGACACGCTGTTGGTTTTTTGAGGTGGTTTTGCAAAAGTAGATTTATTCCAAAGTGCATGGGAGTCCCAGAGTGAGGACTTGAGGAAGTTATAAAGAGCTTGGAGCTGGGGTTCTCCATCCTGTGCTGGCTTAATTGGGTCTTAATCATGGCAAATCCATTAAGGGTCCCATTAAGACCCTTAATTAGCTCTTAATCATAGTATCAATACCCCCAGAAATTATTTTTTTAAATTTTTGCTTTAGGTTTTAGCTCCTTGCGTGACAAAATCCACTCTGAAATCTGCCCTTGGAGGTGCTGGAGCTGCTGCCACGGTCTGTGGTAGCTCATCTTGAAGTTTATCAAATTTTTCATCTGCTGAAACGTTTCTTTCAGTCTCAGATTTCAGTGGCTCCTCCCAGGAGCTTTCTGGGGGCATCACTCTCCTAAATACATCATTTCTTTTTATTCCAGCTCTCTCTTCTCAGCTTAAAAAACAACAGTGAGCTCAAAACACAGGTTTTAAAGGCAGAAAGGATTTTTTTTTGTCGGATTTCTTGCTGAAAATGAATTTTTTGTGTCCCTGCTGTGCCCACAGGCAGCCTGCCTCTGCAAAGTGGTACGACCGGAGGGACTACGTCTTCATCGAGTTCTGTGTTGAAGACAGCAAAGACGTAAATGTAAATTTTGAAAAGTCCAAACTCACCTTCAGGTAAATAATTCAAGCCCAGGCAGTGCTAAGAAGAAGCAGATTTTGTTCTACGAGATGTTTTTTTGGGCTAAATACTGATTTGTTTTTCTCTTGCAGTTGTCTTGGAGGAAGTGATAACTTTAAACATTTAAATGAAATCGATCTTTTTAACAATATCGATCCAAATGTGAGTATCCCCTTGAGTTCTGTGCTGGGGAGGGGCTGGCACAGCTTGGCCAGAGAAATTGCAGGAATTCCATCCCTGGAAGTGCTCAAGGCCATGCTGGAGCAGCCTGGGCTGCTGGAGGTGTCCCTGCCCTTGGCTGGGGTTTGGAACTTGGCTTTTAATGTCCTTTCCAACCCAAACCTTCCCTTGGTTCTGTGAGCCTAAAAAATAGCTGTTCTTGAGGCTGCTCTCGAGATTTTATTCCTTAAAAATGGGAATATTTGTTCCTTAAAAATGGGAATATTTATTCCTTAAAAATAGAAATATTTATTCCTTGAAAATGGGAATATTTATTCCTTAAAAATGGGACTATTTATTCCTTAAAAATAGGACTATTTATTCCTTAAAAATGGGAATATTCCTTAAAAATAGGAATATTTATTCCTTAAAAATGGAACTATTTATTCCTTAAAAATGGGAATAGTTATTCCTTTATTTTTAAGGAATAAATATTCCCATTTTTTAGGAAAAAGTATTCCCATTTTTAAGAAATAAATAATGCCATTTTTAAGGAATAAATATTCCCATTTTTTAGGAAAAAGTATTCCCATTTTTAAGAAATAAATAATGCCATTTTTAAGGAATAAATATTCCCATTTTTTAGGAAAAAGTATTCCCATTTTTAAGAAATAAATAATGCCATTTTTAAGGAATAAATGTTCCCATTTTTAAGGAACAAATATTTCAAAAATAGAAATATTGATTCCTTAAAAATGGGACTATTTATTCCCTAAAAATAGGACTATTTATTCCTTAAAAATGGGAATAGTTATTCCTTTATTTTTAAGGAATAAATATTCCCATTTTTAAGGAATCAATATTTCTATTTTTGAAATATTTGTTCCTTAAAAATGGGAATATTTATTCCTTAAAAATAGGAACATTTATTCCTTAAAAATGGGAACATTTATTCCTTAAAAATAGAAATATTTCTTCCTTTCTTTTTAATCCATGGCACTGATGGACATTTCTCTCTTTCAGGAATCAAAGCATAAAAGAACAGACAGATCCATCCTGTGCTGTTTACGAAAAGGAGAGTCTGGTCAGGCATGGCCCAGGTTAACAAAAGAGAGGGCAAAGGTGGGTCTGGGCAGCTGCTGCCTCCCCTGGCTTCTCCCTGAGCGAAGATTTGGGTCGTGTTCAGCTTCTGGAGCAGTTTTGGGTCATTTTGCTGCTCCTCCTTAGCTTCACTCCCTTGTCCTGAAAGAATTCCTTGTCCTGAAATAATTCCTTGTCCTGAAATAACTCCTGCTCTTGCTGCAGCTCAACTGGCTCAGCGTGGACTTCAACAACTGGAAAGACTGGGAAGATGATTCAGATGAAGACATGTCCAATTTTGATCGCTTTTCTGAGGTAGGAAATGAAAAATTCCTGCAGCTTTGGGAGCTGCCAGGCAGCAAATCCCAACTTTTTGTGCAGCAGCACTTTGTAATTCCTGCTGGTGCTTCCAAAGGGGGGGCTGGTGGTTTGGGGTTGTTCTGGGTGTAAGTGGGGTTGGATTGACCCCAAAATTGTGGCTCTTCTGTCTCTGAGCAGATGATGAACAACATGGGAGGAGACGACGACGTAGACTTGCCAGAAGTAGATGGGGCAGATGATGTGAGTATGTGGGTGCAGTGAGCTCCTGCACTCACTCAGAATCCACATTTGGGCTCCCTGAGCTCCTTAAAATCCAGATTTGGGGTCCTTGAGCCCCTCAAAATCCAGATTTGGGCTCACTGGGTTCCTCAGAATCCAGATTTGGGCTCCCTGAGCCCCTCAGAATCCAGATTTGGGGTCACTGAGCTCCTCAGAATCCAGATTTGGACTCAATGAATTCCTCAAAATTCAGATTTGGGTTCACTGAGCCCCTCAGAATCCAGATTTGGGCTCACTGGGTTCCTCAAAATCCAGATTTGGGCTCCCTGAGCTCCTCAGAATCCAGATTTGGGCTCACTGGGTTCCTCAGAATCCAGATTTGGGCTCCCTGAGCCCCTCAAAATCCACATTTGGGCTCACTGGGTTCCTCAAAATCCAGATTTGGGCTCCCTGAGCCCCTCACCTCAGAATCCAGATTTGGGCTCCCTGAGCCCCTCAAAATCCACATTTGGGCTCACTGGGTTCCTCAAAATCCACATTTGGGCTCCCTGAGCCCCTCAAATGCAGCTTTGGGCTCCCTGAGCCCCTCAAATGCAGCTTTGGGCTCCCTGAGCCCCTCAAATGCAGCTTTGGGCTCCCTGAGCCCCTCAAATGCAGCTTTGGGCTCCCTGAGCCCCTCAAATGCAGCTTTGGGCTCCTGAGCCCCTCAAAATGCAGCTTTGGGCTCCCTGAGCCCCTCAAATGCAGCTTTGGGCTCCCTGAGCCCCTCAAATGCAGCTTTGGGAGCAGCAGCTCTGTGCTGCTGGGCTGGGTGCTGGAGGAGCTGCCTGCCCCACTGAAAGTTTGTTTGTTCTCCTTTCCAGGACTCACCAGACAGTGATGATGAAAGTGAGTTGTTTTCTTTGTTGTTTTCCCTTCACCTGCTGCATTCTCCAGGCCAGCAGATGTTCCTCCTGTCCAGTCCAGCCCTGGAGACAAATCTGACCTGGGAAAGCCTCTCCAAATCCCAGTTTGACCTCCCCAAATCCCAGTCTGACCTCCCCAGCCCCAGGGGGTTTTGGCTTCAGGAGCAGCACGTGCTCAGGGTGCCTCTGGCACAGTTTTCCCTTGGGAAGAGCCCCCAAAATGCCCCTTTTATCATTATTTATTATTATTATTATTATTATTATTATTATTATTATTATTATTATCATCATTATTATTATTAATATATTTATATTTATATTTATTTTCTTATTATTAGAATTAATTTCATTATTATAATTATTTATTTATTTATTTATTTAATTATTATTTATTATGTCCCTTGTGGCATAATAACACCCTGAGAGCTGGAGGCCAGCTCCTACCTTTTATTATTATTAATTAATTAATTTATTTATTAATTAATTTATTATTATTTATTATGTCCCTTGTGGCATAATAACACCCTGAGAGCTGGAGGCCAGCTCCTACCTTTTATTATTATTAATTAATTAATTTATTTATTAATTAATTTATTATTATTTATTATGTCCCTTGTGACATAATATTGGAGGCCAGCTCCAACCTTTTATTATTATTAATTAATTTATTAATTAATTTATTTATTATTATTTATTCTTATTTATTGTGTCCCATGTGACATAATAACACCCTGAGAGCTGGAGGCCAGCTCCTACCTTTTATTATTATTCATTCATTCATTCATTTATTTATTTATTTATTTATTATTTATTCTTATTTATTATGTCCCTTGTGACATAATAACACCCTGAGAGCTGGAGGCCAGCTCCAACCTTTTATTATTAATAATTAATTAATTAATTATTATTTATTCTTATTTATTATGTCCCTTGTGACACAATAACACCCCGAGAGCTTTTAAAAACCACCCAAACAAAAAACCAAAACCCACAAAGCAACCCTCCACCCACTAATTTTTATTTTTATTTTGGCCAGCTCCTACCTTTTATTATTATTCATTCATTCATTCATTTATTTATTTATTTATTTATTATTTATTCTTATTTATTATGTCCCTTGTGACATAATAACACCCTGAGAGCTGGAGGCCAGCTCCAACCTTTTATTATTAATAATTAATTAATTAATTATTATTTATTCTTATTTATTATGTCCCTTGTGACACAATAACACCCCGAGAGCTTTTAAAAACCACCCAAACAAAAAACCAAAACCCACAAAGCAACCCTCCACCCACTAATTTTTATTTTTATTTTTCCTTCTAGAAATGCCGGATCTGGAGTAAGGCAAACTGTCGTCTTCAGGGTTTTGGGGGAAAAAAGTTCATCACAACATTTCATAATTGAGATAAGAATTCCTGAGTTGATAGCCCTAAAGGGAGATCCTGCATCCTTTAACCCATTTCCAGTCCATTTGCAGTGGCTTCACTGATGGGAGGTGTGTGCCATGGCACGGGGCGGTCTCAGAGCCACCAGAGGCAATAACAGTTATGCATGAACCGTTCTCCAGACTTCCAAAAAACCCCAAAAAACCACCAAACCAACCCAACTGAGGCGTAGGCAATGCATTGAGAGCAGTTGCAATAAAGTTTACAGAGCCTCCTTGCCTCGTAGCAATGGGAGAACCCTGAATTAACACTGGTTTAAACAAAAAATTTATTTTTTTTTCCTATCTCCACGGCCTGAAATTAATTTCTACCGGGAACAAAAAACCTGTTAGTGACTCCCCAAAAAATCCAGCAGGCAAGGCACATCCCTCGTGATGTCTTCAGCTCTGTTCCCATTCAAAAAAATAATTAAATCTCAAAAAAAAAAAGAAAAAAAACCCCAAATCCTCCTGGTTTTTGGTGCCCCTGGTCCCGTGCGACCCCAAACCTTCCCCACCTCCTGGGAGTGGCTGTACATTGTTGCTTTGTCAATCTGTACATTTTCGACCAAAATGGTATTTGCACTGTGGGTTTGGCAGCGAGGACAGCGCGGGGCTCGGCCCTCAGCCCGTGTTCGGAGCAGCTGGGATTTTTTTAATGTCTGCATTCTTTCTAATAAACTGTTGAAGACTCCCTGGCGCTCCCCTGGGGTGGGCCTCGTGCATTGCTGGGGGGGCAGGGGGTGGGAGCCCCTTTTTGGGGGTGGGATCCCCTTTTTTGGGGGTTCAGGGGGGTGGGATCCCCTTTTTTGGGGGTTGGGATCTCCTTTCTTGGGGTAATCACGGGACAAACCCCGCGGCGCTCCCCGTTCCCCGGTGGGCTGCGCCTTGCGCCTCGGCGAGAACGCGGGGCCGGTGCACCGGAGCGGCCCCGGGGCCGTTACAGTGACACCGGGGCCGGGAGGCGGACACGGGCCCGGTGAGGTCCGGTGCGGCCCGGTGCGGGCCCGGTACGGCCCGGTTCGAGCCCGGTGCGGTCCGGTGCGGTCTGGTTCGGGCCCGGTGCGGTCCGGTTCGGTTCGGTGCGGTCCGGTTCGGGCCCGGTGCGGCCTCGGCCGCGGTCACGGCGCCCGCCCAAGGACAAGCGCGGCACACGTGCGCCGCCACTTCCGCTGACCTTCACCCGGGACACGCCCCTTCCCCGCACACCGCCCTATCAGCCCGCAGCGCGTTTTGACTGACGTCTCCCCAACCCAATCGCGACGAGGCGCCGCATGGGCGCGACCAATGAGAGCGCCAATTCGCGCGGCGCCTCTCCGCGGAGCCGCCAATGGGCGCGCGGTGCGGCGGTGACGCGCGGCGCGGCGGCCCCGCCCCGCGGGGGCCGTGAGGGGCGGGCGGG